GCAACGCAAAGGACTCACCCTTCGGTCGTGACCGTGTCGATGGAAAGTAGTGATGAATAAGACCACGTCGGAACTGCTCAGGTTGTCTACTTAGAACAGCTTTTATACTCTCCCTTTCCTCCTTTGATGTACCGGTCGACCTTGGCTCTCCCCCTTCCCAAGCAGATATCCATCTACCATCTGTTCAGGGGAAGGTGGTAAAGGAAACCGGAAGTAGGGGAGATAGATATCTGCATGAGAAGGGGGAGAGCCAAGGTCGACCGGTGCATGGAAGGAGGAAAGGGAGGGTATAAAAGCTGTTCCAAGCAGAAAACCTGAGTAGTCCTTCATCACCATCACCGTGGACTAGATCATGACTGAAGGGCAGATTTGAGGTGTGGGGTGTCTTGGGCGGATTGCCAATGCAAAGGGGTAGGAAGACAAGAGAGGGCGAGGAGTTGACCAGCAATCAAACCTCATCCCCTCCATCTCTGGGATGAGGAACGAACGGCCCAGTCGGTGGCGCCACCTCTGGAGGGGACAAGGAACTAACGGCCGTGTCTGTGGCGCCATCTCTGGAGGGGACGAGGAACTAACGGCCCTGTCGGTGGCGCCATCTCTGGAGGGGACGAGGAACTAACGGCCCTGTCTGTGGCGCCATCTCTGGAGAGTACTAGGAACTAACGGCCCTGTCAGTGGCGCCATCTCTGGAGGGGATGAGGAACTAACGGCCCTGTCTGTGGCGCCATCTCTGGAGGGGACGAGGAACTAACGGCACTGTCTGTGGCGCCATCTCTGGAGAGTACTAGGAACTAACGGCCCTGTCAGTGGCGCCATCTCTGGAGGGGATGAGGAACTAACGGCCCAGTCGGTGGCGCCATCTCTGGAGGGGACGAGGAACTAACGGCTCTGTCTGTGGCGCCATCTCTGGAGGGGACGAGGAACTAACGGCCCTGTCTGTGGCGCCATCTCTGGAGGGAATTAGGAACTAACGACCTTGTCAGTGGCGCCGTCTCTGGATATTGGCCTTATAATGACGCCATCTCAGCATATACATTCAAAGTGTTTCATTGTCCCTGAAGCCTTGAGATTGTTGATTACTTATTTCCATTGATACTCATTGATATTGATATTAGAATTCACAGCATTGATATTGAAAATAATTTTCCGACTTATTTCAGTCCCTCCGTCATGTTAGTGAAGAGTTTTTTCGCGTTTACATGCGGCTTTCAGAAGCGTTGGAAATTGGCAGCAGGAACCAAAATGGGGAATATAGGGAAATCAAATGTCATGTCGATTAGTGGACGCATAGGGACAAATTTATGATGATCTTCCAAGGAAGCACCGCACCGTCCTGTCTTCGTTGTTCCATTTCTTTCATTTGGGATCTGAGGCAGTAATAGGTGAACTTTTTATACTCTCAGACGGACGGAGATGCACTAGGAATCCTCACAAAATACGCAGTAGATTTCCTCATGTAACGCTTTTTTGACAGCAGCGGGAGATACTATGTAAATTTTCTTTCCACGAATTTTGAATGAGTAAATTCGCCTCCGCAAAAATTTGAAAATATTGTATTGTTGGTTTTTTAAAGTGCTTCTACAAATGAAGAGAGCTATGCAACATGTTCCCTGGACCACGTAGTGCATGTATTATTCATTTCCATCCCCGGATGATCCCTTTTCTCTTACATGGAAGGACGGATACGGTCTCTCAATCGCAGCCTTTGATACTCAGAGCAACAAAAAAAAACCTTGCAGTCCTCCTATGACAATATGGCAACTCCTGGAGCCCAAATGCCCATCTACGGGGGTCGTTCGAACTTTCTAGATATTCGAATCAGTAGAGATTCCTTCGGATAGCTCTCACCCAGTTCCGCCTGGAACCGAGGCAGGGATGATCGCCTTTGTTTCTCAATGGATGGGGTATAACGTTGCGAATTTGGATATCGGCGTTCAGGATGAATTTTCGGCACACAGAGAGTGATGCTCGGCAAACTTTACCCATGAACGGATAGTCCCGTCCTCTTCCATCGGAATTTCAGCATTTCTTAGCACATTTCGTCACTTCGAAAACACAAAGACGACGGTTAGCGATTGAAATTCATCGAGGAAATTGGGTTTCTGCACAAATATTCCGCACAAATATTCGGCACTCGGATCCACTTTTCAGCTGCATCGAGCAATAAGAGTGAAGCACTTGTGAATTCGCTAACTTATTTCGCCTCGCAAGCATGTGTTAAGAGTTGCTGTCGCACTAGGAATGGGTCATAACGGGTTTAAACCCGGACTGACACCTTTCAAAATACGGGAGGTTTTTCGATTTTCACTGTATTTCGTATGGAACTTTTGCCTATTCACAGCCTATCCTATATGACAAAATTCCCATTCCCTCTTAGGAGCGTCCCATAAAAATCTCCCTAGAAATGTCTTAAATTTGCTTTTGCGGTCCGCTGTACCGAGGAACATTCTGCGAGCATTCACTCGCACTCATTTCAATTTCCTTTCTGCTCGTCAATGGCGAATTTTAGCCGGAAAGTGTCACATAACAATGTATTTCGGTTTCCGCTTCGGATCTCGAAATTCCAACCAGCCGTATTCCACATTTAGTTTCCCCTACAACAGTAATGGAGGAATGTTCCTTTAGGAAAAACGAAAATGACATTTCATTGCCAAAACCGCTTGTCTTTTAATGCCTTGAAGAAAGCAGAATGGAAGATATTACTTTATCTTCCATTCTGCTACTACTAGCTACTACTAGCATTTACTAGCGGACTGCGGCCGCAACGCTGGCCGTCTAAAGGCCCGTTCACATTGTCCTTCGGCGAAGCCTCGCCGCAGCCTCGCCGCAGCTTCGCCGAAGGTGCGGCGTAGGTTCTCGTTCACATTATCCGGCGCTCACTTACGGAGAACCAATGGTAAACGTGAGCAGACGATGAGATTGCACCAATCTCAGTTCGATGCTGGAATGAAGATGGCAGCGTACGTGAGACGAGCGCTCTTACTCCTGATCCTCTACAATTGCCCACTGCAGGAAGCAGTATAATCGAAAGCTTTGGATGAGAGAGATTTGAGAAATGGATGAGAGAGATCTTAGGTGGCCATTACTATCATCTGACGTAGCAGAACTTTCTGGAAATTGTTTTCTACATTCTCTGCTACAGGGGAAGGTACGAATTAAGTTCGATGCTGGAATGAAGATGGCAGCGTACGTGAGACGAGCGCTCTTACTCCTGCTCCTCTACGATTGCCCACTGCAGGAAGCAGTATAATCGAAAGCTCTGGATGAGAGAGATCTTAGGTGGCCATTACTATCATCTGACGTAGCAGAACTTTCTGGAAATTGTGTTTTCTACATTCTCTGCTACAGGGGAAGGTACGAATTCAATCCGAAAACGGTGTACGCCGAATCTAACGGTCCCATTATCATAGTTGGCACAACCTAATTTTGAGTGTAGGTTTATACTAAGGTCTTATGTCAACCTTAGACCAACGCCAAATTACTCTTTCCCCTCCCCTTCTCCCGTTCCTTTGAACGTATGCCGACCTCAACAGGTCTTTGTTGTATCCAGCTTTGCTTGACAAGGACTAGGCGGGCTACGCCTATCACACAAACCGGTAGTAGACCTGGTATTGAAATGACAATAACGATATTTGTTGGAAGGGCATTTTTGAGACCATAAGCGACTACACAAGCCTAGAGTCAATCATATACGGTAGGCTAGGTTGATTCAGGTTTTCAGAGTTCGTGCTGGCCGCCATATCAATCGGCGTTCCTATTGGCTTTCCGTAAGTACGTCGACAACTCCTCATTGGCTATCCGTAACAAAAGTTTGGTTCCTTCGAACTCCTTGCGTAGGTGCGCCGCAGCTGTGGCGTTGACATTCGTTCCGTTCTTTTCTACGGGCGCGTTCAGACTGGTCTGTGCTGCACTTTCGGCGAGGCTGCGGCGAGGCCTTGCCGAAGGACAAGGTGAACGGGACTTTAGACTACCATGAATGGAGGGTAAAAAATATATACGGTGTCATTGTTTTGGCCATCAAATTCTCACTACTACAAAGCCTCTTGGACTGAAGATCAGTCAAATCTCTGCTCTGCTGTTCCTTTGGCTGAATTAATGTTGAAAGGTTTCCTCGAAAATACCATCTCACGACACAGGTCATGATTGCCAGAGAAATCTGGAGTCCGCCATACCCAACTTTACTGGACATCGTGCTCGGTTTGCTCAATTCTTGCCCTCTTTGCTACTTTCTGCCTCACAGAGCAACCTACCGGATCGAAACTTCCAGATATTCTCGGGTGTTTTTCATAGGTTCAAAGGTAAAACACAAGAATGCGTCACATGGAGTGTAGAAATTTTTTCATGGGGCGACCTGACACCACTGTGAAAAACACTGTAAAAGCCACAATTACTATGGTTAAAAATTATGATATAAAAAATGCTAACAATTTTTATTGCCACATTACAACAGACAATATGGTTTTGTTGTAGCAGTGAGGTTTTTATTTACTTCGCTCTTCCTATTCCTGGTTCTAGCTTACATTCAAGTTGAACTTGTGGTTTCAGGGAGGTGTGCAAGTAGTCCAAGAGAACTCATTATTTGGTCTTCAGTTTCATGGTATGATTTCTTCAACCCTTGAAATGTAATGCTGTTGTCACAGGATCAGTCACATGAATAAAATCTTCCAGCTCCATAATTTGACAGTACAAGGGTTAATGCAAGTAACTGCATTTCACCCAAACAACCAGAAATTAAATTGTGAAATGTTTCCTTTAAGTGCTAATACGAACAAATGAAAAGTTGATAGCAACTTTAATGAGGTTTAGGATCTCATACCCATGGGTAACACACATGTAGCCTTGGCTACTCATGTCTATCTATGTGTTAAATAACCCTGCTGCCGGATCTGACTCCACAGTCCAAAGCTGCAGCATTCTTGTCCTGCTCCTTTAATTCACAGTTAAAATTACTAGATATTCAACTGAATAGTTGAATACAACATAAAACCATTGAAATATCAGCAACACCTCTAAAATAGCATAAATACAAATGAATAAAAAAAAAAAGAATGAGGAATAGCAGACATGCAGGAATATCAGGGGTATAAAACACTTAGACTTCAAGTCTTGCATTCTTCCATCCATGAAAAGTTCTTCATATCACACTGTCATTGGGATCATCCACAGGTGAATCTTCTCGGGCTTCAGGATCCCACATATGCAAAGCTTGTCTCCATAACCTCACTTGTTGATCCCATGATCTGCGGGAGTATTTTCGGTACTTGTTAGGGGTCCAAGGATGTTCTGGTCCTCGTTCCTCCCTGAAATACACAAAAAACAAAATTTAAGGCAAAGTCATTAAGTCAGGACTGACATCTACAATATGGCTTTAAGGTAAAGTAACCAAATGGGCTTTTTTTTAATACTGGCACAGGTGGACAAAAACTACAAGAGTCATTCATCAGGCACCCTACATTGTGGTCCAATAACTTCAAAGTGAAATGAGATAGGACCTTGAGCATGTAACGAAGCTTTCAGCAATGTGATTTTCAAATTCATAAGGCACTGCATGTATGCACCTCTCCAAGTTTAAGCCTTGTCAATCTTCTAGATGCAGCTTCAAAACCTATCCTATAGGTGACATTTGTCAAATTTCTCAGGTAGATTCTAAACCTTGTCTTCATTTGAGGTAGAAAACCTGACTTCACAAGGATGCATTTCCATCCAGCTAAATGATAAGGAATCACCAGGAGACAGGTCCAGTGTGTATGACAGAAGAGGAAAAACTTCCCTCCCCTTTTAAATCAGATTAATAATGGAATGGGCATTCTCAACCATCTCATCCATTCCAGAGAGGAACAGGGGGAAAAAAATGATTTTTGACTGGGCTTCACTTGAGAGGCAGGAGATTGAGTTTGGTCAAGGACAAGCTTTCTGCCTAGGTAGCCACATTGGAACTACACATTTCTCTGTATCACGTCTCATAGGTGCAGCATAACATAAAAATTACATGTCACTCATGACAGTCAAGGACTGTGAGCTTCCCCAAAGGCCTTCTGCAAGACTTCTCCAAGAGAGACGTTAAAAAAAAGGGATAAGTGACATCAAGACTGCTCAAGATTGCTCTCTCTTATCCTACATCATAGTTCAATCACAGCAAGTATGCCAATATCATTACCAGAGAGCAATGACTGGAACTTAGGATACAATCGAACTTAAGGATTTAGATGAAAGTAGAAAACCCTCTCAGCAGTAATTTAATTTTTTTCTGATTTTTCATTGTAGACTGGTAAGTGACTTCTCAAAGTACCAGCAATGGAACCACTGTGATGCTTTTGTTTTCTAACATACCTCAAATAGCTACATGTTTTTTTTTTAGTCAAACCCAAGAAAATGTCATCATTAACTCTAGTTTACTCTGATAGCTCTGGTCCATGATTAAACCATTCTGGAGTTGGACCAAGTCCTTAAAAAAAGAATAAGATGAATCTGAGAAACACCCTAGTCCTATCAGAACCACCAAGGACCACATCAATTTTTCTAGCTGGGCAATGATCTCGGCCTGAAGCTTTTTTGTCTCACTTTGATATTTGTAACTTTCAGAGAACAGACAAAACCATGGCCATCAGTTAAAATGTGAGAATACACAGGTGGTCAAAAGTGAAGGAAAAAAAACTTGATCCATCAGCACCTGAACTTCTAGACAAAATGGATACAAAAAGATGGAACTCTAAACACTTAAAGCCTGAGATGACTTACATTGGAACCAGCTTTCTGTATCTTGAATAACCCAGAGTGTTCTTCCCATAGTTGATCTGCTTTTGTCGTCTTTGAAGTACATCAGAATCTGTTTCTCTGTCCTTCTTATTTGGAATTTTGGTGTACATCTTTCTAATAAGTTGGAGCTTCTTCTCATAATCAACTTCACTGCCCTCACTGGCTGAAGTACCACCCAGCATGCAACTAACACCACTGAAAATATTAGAAAAAACAATCATCCACATAAGCAATTGACACTCAGATGGCAAAAGCAAAGTCAATACAGAGCCCAGACCAAAAAAAGTTTCTGAAAAAGAGCTATTCAATTCTCATTTCTGGTATTCTTCCTATGGTGGATAGTGGATTATGTGGCAAAGGAGATGGCGAAGCTCATTTTGGTTCAGGAGAGACCATGAGTAGAGGGTGACCAGAAAGTTTTCGGACACTTTAAAAATAGAATGTTTTATTCATAGAAACAAAAAAAGTTTTTTTTATTTTTTTCACCTGAATATATGATAGAATAGACAATTTTAAAGAATATAATCAAACCTTTTCAAAATGTCCACCCTTTGCTTCGATGGACTGCATCAATTATTTTGGGAACTGATCAATGACTGCACCCAGCATTCACAATTGTGGAGTGACTTAAATCCATGGCCTTAAAATAAAAAATATTTGGACATGATATCCAAAAACCGATTTTTGCATGCAACAGAGAAAATTAAAATGATTTAAAAGAAACAACCTCAGCAGAAAAATTGACATTCTCCTGAAAAGTAACTGCTCTTTGAAAACGTGTCTGGTCACCCTGTAAAAATGCTATAATCAAGTAATGCAATACTGTAACTTATAATAATGTCATATCCTCCTCACATCCTGATGTTGTAGCCATTCCAGTTGTCTTTCTCCTTTTTAACTCTTTAGGGTCCAAGTATTTTGAATGTGTCAGCAATGTAATCCAAGTTTTTCTATCCTTCATCATGAAGCTGACACGAGATAACTTGGCCATGGACCCCAACAGATTAATGATGTATAGAATCAGGGATAAAGCACAGCATGTAAATATGGCTCAAGAGCTGTAAGTTTCAAATCAAAATAAATTGTTCTTGGTGGGAGCAAAATCCAAATCCAGAAATTGCCAGTCAACTTTCTCAGTGAATTCCCTTAGGTTGTATCTATGCCCAGTATAGTTAATGAAGTTTCTTTTAATGTTAAACATCACTGCTTCAATATACAAAGCAGGGTTCAGAAGGACACTGCTTCTGCAAGTGGAGGGTTAACAGATTAAAAAAAAATAATGCCTTACAGGCTCAGGCAAGTAGGACCTGGACATACACAAACACAAAGATCTGCAAAGGAGTTATGCATATGATGCCAGTACACTAAAAAAGTAACTGTTGCACTGGATGTTGAAACTCAAAAAGAGCACAAGTTTGAAATTGCCAGTTGCTGAGAGTTGAATATTTTGGCATCTGCTCACACATATTGGCATATTTCTGGGCAGAAACTTCCACATTATATGAATGAAAGCCTTGAGATTCCAGCGAGAAGTAACTGTGACAGCTCTTAATTTCCACAAGGGGCTCTGAAATCAAGTTTCATGCATCATAATGCAATAAGGCCAAGCCCATGAATTCCAAGGTTTTGCAAATAACCTACTTTGCATTTTGTGGCTTTGCAGATAACCAACTATCATGTCATGTTCTATCAGTAATGCCAGCATATTTTGTGCTTTCAACACTTATGATTGTTTTTGCTGTGAAAGCAAACTAGCACATGCCATGTTGGCATTCACTACCAAGAGCCAAACTACTAAGGCAGTGGAATAAATATGATACAACATGACATTGAAAATACTCAACACATTCGCTGCCATGTATGGCTATAGCTGTTTTCACAAATCCATTTCGCCAGGGCCATACATTACTATTAGCCATTTTCACACCATCTTCCTAATAGTTACTTATTTCTTCAAGAGATGTCATTCAAATATCTCCTAACCTATGAGGGCTGCATACAAGATGCCACACCCTTAAACATTACTGAAGGTATGTTGAAAATTTTCATTCATTTAAATCCCTGGCAGTAAATGTGTTAATAACATCATACCATTGAATACAAATTCAATGAGGAAATAGATGGACATATTACAGAATGTAGTAAAAGGTAGCGCAGTTCACAAAAAAAATGCTAAAGGTCTCAATTTGGGCCTTACAAATAAGCAATATAAATAAACAACCTTGTACTGCTACTTCCACTGGCAGAGTTCTGACGCTCTCTCTGCCTTTGGGAAGCATTGGAAGAATCTCTAGCTTCCTTCTTGATTTCAAAAGAATTGGGAGGTTCTTCTTCACCCTCATTCCATATGACTTCATGGTCACTCTCTCCTTGATGACGTGGGGAAAGACTATCAAAAGAACTGGAAAGAGAGGGTTCTCTCTCTGATGCCATGGTGATACCACTGAACGAGTGTGACTGACTCTGAGAAGTATCATTTCCTGCTTTGCTGCCATCACATTTCATGTCACTTGAGGAACCCAAAGCTTTTTTCTTGTGAAAGTGAATGTTATCAATGTCCACTTTTATATCATTTGTACGAAGGTTAATGCCTTCTTGGGGAGAGTCTGCATCTTGATATGAAGAGCTCCCATTGTCCAAACCTTCAATTCTCAATTTCTTCATATCTTGTTCCTCTTCAACTGAATTCAGAACACCACCTGCTCGATTTCGTTTTGTAGGAACCTTGCGATGATGACTGGATCTGGCTGGAACCTTCTCAACATCCACACTTTTTTGCTCTTTGGTCACATCAAGTTCATTGTCTGAGTCATCCTTGTCATCTGCATGCTCTTTTTTGCATACCACTTTAGATGGAATAAATACTGCACGGTTCTCAGAAACATCAACTTCTTCCTTAACATGTGCAGAAGAGCTAGTAGAACTGAACTGCGAAGTTTCCAGTTCCTCCTCTTCCACCATATCAGCCCAAGATGGCCGTTGTTTACTCATCCCTTCTGCTGCCTCTGATTCAGCCTCTCTGCTTGGGCCTCAAGTCCTACATGGAATAGAAAGCTATAAAAAAGCCACAAGCATGGGGTTACACTTGTAACCAAGACCACAGGCCTAGTCAAATGCTTAATTAATTCATGCTAAATAAAAAATGCATTGGATCAGACCAGATCATTTCTGAAGTGACTTAGTGTCTCCTTTCGATTACCTCAATTGAAGACTTGTTTTGGCTAGTCTTGGAAGCCAGAAAGGAAACATCACGTAATTTATCACTCAGCAATGCCTGCACCCTATCCTCTCTGAAGTACACATGAGTACTTTGCTTGTTATGTCTACTGGTATATATAAGCAAGTGAAGTGGCTGAAGCTTGGCACCCACTCATGGTGTGTGTAGACCCAAATTTATGAGTCTTTCCATTTCTTTAATCTAAGGGCAAAGATAGAATGCATAGCCGAGTAGGCAGAAATATATGGCTGATACATACTTCCTATCTTGGCAAAATATGAAGACAGCCCATATGTGATCCAAAAGGTAATATCAGAAGTCATTGCAATAATTTACAAAGTCCCCTCATTGAAACATTATAATGGCTGAGGTGAAACATTTCTCAAGAGAGAAACAGGTAGCTTTCGACAACTAATGGCCAAAAAATTACCTTCCCATTAGCCTGGAGGGTAGGGAAGAGAATCTATGGAAGATGCATTTTTCACAAATGGAGGACTTGAGTGGAAAATTTTGTAGGTAGCTTAATTTTTTTTTACCAGAGGGCTTGCAGGTAGAGAGCTGGCATTCCATGAGTAATTTGATTAGACCTCTGAACATGTCTAGGCCTAATTACAAATGTTTCATTTGCCAGGAAACTTTTTGCAGGATGAAATTAAAATGTTGTTAAACCTACCTAGTGTGCAAATACCACACCTTCTACCACAGGCCTAGGGTCATTAGCTTTAGCAGTGCAAAAGTCAAGGAAACCAGTAGCCTCAACCAGAACCGAGACTTCGGCCTCTGATTAATATTACAGAAACTCCCATGTGACTTGCAATACAAGCAGTAGTGTAGGGAAGGAGGGGGGTTAGGGGATCAGAACCCCCTCCCTCCACCTTAGGCTTCCTGGTCAGTGACCCTGACAGGCATATTTCAACCTTCCTTGGGAATTCAAATTTTAGTTATGCCCCTTTGATGAAATTCTGTCTGTCCACAGACTCAAGATGCAAGACCATGGTTTCTTTGAAAAGGTAAATTCCGAGAAGTGGAGCTAGGCGTAGGGTTGGGATGCCTGCCTGGCTTCAACCCCCCTCTTGCCGATTTCCTGCCTACGCCACTGGATACAAGTTAACCTCTCTAGGCCTAAGTTGGGACTTGCGTTTCGTCTACAAGAACATTGAATAGCGTTCACTTTCTACTAAAGCCGGATAGACTCACGAAGTGAACCCAAAACCACTGCAGGTCTACGCTGTATAGGCCTACTTAACTTTAGCACAAGTTTTTCTCTTTTTTTCCCACTTTTTTTATTAGAGGTTTTCATTCGACTCGGACGCCCATGTACAAGAAGTGCCACGGACGGGTGTCGCACTAAAAAGCTCCCACGAGCACCATCAACACTACTTCCTGATAGCAATTGCTGCAGCACAGCCCATGGGTTTATTCACTGTTAAGGAACCCCATGACCAATTACCCATTCACGCAGTCAAGAGATTCCCGAACAGACGAACAGCTGGTCTGGAGAGCGGCACGATTTCCCGCCGACCAGTGTTGAGATCATCCGAGGGCAAATTCCCTTCTTTCTACCCCTTTTTTCAACCAGGATTTTCTTTCTAGTTCATGAAAGGCTGCCTGGAGAGAGTCTTTTCTCAGTTACCTTCTCCCATTAATTTTTATGGCAACATTTTCAGCTCAAACATAAAGGAAACCTCGCCAATAATCTTGCGATCACTGTCACATCTATTGCGTTCGTTCAGTGGGGCAGGAAACGGGACGAGTCGAACTTGGGAAGAGTTAACTCATGCTTCCTCATAGCCGACCGTATCGCCGATCTGTTCTCGCATCACTCCCTCGGCTAGGGGCTAGCCGGACGCCAGGCTCATGGACTTAGCGTAACATTCAACTAGGACCTTACTTAAGGTTTAGAATGCTGCTACGTTCAGGACGTGGCACTTTGCTTTTACCGTAATAGTCGGATTATAAGGAAGTTTTACTCAAAGTTTTTACCTTTCAAAACATATTTTCCCACGCAGCTTGGAAAAGGAGCTGCACATGCATGACTTGTTACACCCCCATAACATGAATGGATGAATGGAAAGTGTTAATGTGAGATACAAAGAAATTGAAGCTAGTGTTTTTGAGGGTGGTCATGTATTCAACGCGTGCTTATATACAAATATGGTATGTAATTGTAGGCCTATACCTACTCGACTAGGTTTACTTAAGTTTGGCTGATACAAGACTATAACCTGGGCATGTTGCAGGTCTCCAGACAGCTGTGTCCAAAGTCACTTGGAGAACATTGTAGAGAAAATTTTGTATTTCAAGACCAATTCGTCCAAAATCATCAAAAGCTTGTGAACATTACCATCTAGTTAGTATTTAGGCCGATTGACAAGGGTAGCTGGTTAGGCTGGTTATTGGTTTTTACAACCTTTTCCTAACCAGGCAAAAAAGGAACGAGTTGCGGAGTAACAGGGAACTCCGTTTCCTGTTACTCCCCAACTCTTTATGTGAAGAAATCAAGATTACTGCATCTCCTGTCATTCCGTAAATTATTTCAAATTGTTTGTCTTTTTGAAATCAGATGAAGCAATAATTGTTCCAGTGCCATCACTGCAAAAGTAGAACAAATAGCTGTCAGCCAATGTGAGATGCTAATGTAACATTTGCAAATTCTGTATTGGTTTCATTCATTGGTGTAATTATGTGTAGTATTCCTTGGTTTTTGTATCAGGGTGAAATGATCAAAATATGAAGATGGGGTTGGTATGATTATTTAGAAACCCAAATGACCTATACCCAAAGTTTGATGATAATAATGTCAATAATATCCTACTTCTGCTTTGCTGGAGCATTCAAGAACCCTTTTAAGCTCTATACTCAGTTCACATGAATATCACAATATCACAAAATCACAGTATCACAAAAATATCACAAAATATAAATAAATAAAAAATTCGCTTGGGCTCTTCATAATTTTCAGAAAAAAGTAATATTCATTACAATATGATGAAAATATTGGGTGCAAGAAGATTACGGCCCATGACTGCAACCTAACTCTGGAACACCAGCTAACCCATCCTCCCATCTACACCCTCCCTGTAATATCAGCAAATATGAGTAGCCTTGGGAGACTCAATACGTCCCATGTGCTTGTTCTAGGTATATACTATGAGGTTTATCTTTCACCATTGGGCATCTTTAATGTTTCACATCCCTAGATGGGAGTGCCAAATGCTTGGGGCTCCCCCTTCCCAAGCATGCTGGGGCTTGCACTTGGACATAAACACCGGACTTGTTTTGGTTCAAACCTGGGTACCCTGCCTTGGGAGGCAAGCACATTATCAACTGAGCCACTGTGGCTCAGTTGAACAGTGGCTTAGAGCTGTTTGCATGAAATCAGTTCAACATCCATATTCCACTTAATGGTTGGGATCTATGAGAATGTATTTAACTGAGTTGATGTTATTTCCATTGAATTCCATGTAAGAATGAATGCTTCAAAATCTATTTTATTTCATGCATACAAATGCTGTGCATGTAGCATTGCACCTGTGTAGAAGAAGGTTTTTACTATATTTGAAAGTGCAAAACAGTTTTTTTTGTGGCATGGCTTCAGCAGATATCTGAAGTTTGTCAAGATGAAAGCTGACAATGCTAAGCACTGCAAAAAACAAATAAGTAGTTTTTCATTTAAAAAAAAGTACATACTTTTTTTTATCAGCATTAAACTGAATTCTATTTTTTAATTATGTTTATTGTACAAAAGACTAGACATTGGCTACTTAGTTGTATATTTGAAAGGCTAATCAAAAGTGTTAAGGAGTATGTAATTCCTGAAGACATATGCTCCATTGGAGAATATTTTAATTTACTGGACTTCTTTGGCCATAGAGCACTGAAAAATGTGGACACCTTGTGGAAAAGGATCTGCATATTTGAAGGAGTCAGGTTGAGAAAAGAGCACTCCAGTGGAGATCTCTTATTCTAACATCAGTGGATTTGTGACATGTAAATGTGGTGGATGTAGTTTTTGTCTTTTAATTTAAGAACATATACGATCAGGAAATTGTTGTTCATTTCCTTCATCCACGGAGTCCAGATCCTTCGGTTTCATATCCTCATTAATCCGATGAGCCAAGAGTACATTAGAGTCAGGTCCTTTCACTTATTAACCCCTGACAGAAACAGGACTTACAAACTGTCCAATGTAGAGATGATGCACACATTGGCATGTCTTCATATGAACAATCAATAGAGAGAATTAACCTTCAAGATATGCTCTTTGGACTTAGTTCTATATGACTGTAGATTTTATTTTTCTTTATTGTGTTGAGTTCCATACTGTCCATCAAACTTGAAGGTATTGCTAGATGCAAGGATGTTAGTCACAATCGATGGTGCACTCTTTTGTAGTTCTCTTAGAAACTTCTTGAGAGCTCAAGGTTAAATTTAACACAGAGGTAACTACATGTCTTGCCTGCAAGCCATTCAATTTTTTAAACTTTAAATGGTTGTTTTTGGTATGAAGTCAAAGGTCATAACCATAACTTCCTCAAGAAAAGTTAACTTTTAGCCCTTTTTCAAAACTTTTTAGTCACATGTTTTTGAAAAGAGCCTTCAAATGAGTCGAAGAAGAGGCCTCTAGCTCAAATGGAACAGAGGTTATGAGGGGAAGACTGTATCATAGCACAGCAAGAAGGCATTTCAGCTTGAATTTCCATGATCTCACATTTGAGGAACAAGAAGTCAAATGAATCCAGTAATTACTGTGAGTCACTTTCTAGTAGGTACAAGTAAGCCTGTCAAATTTCATTCAAATCAGGAAAAGTCACCTTTAACGCTGTGTTGATTTGACAGAATGTTATGCTTTTTGCAATATGTGAGTGAAAGTAATTTGATCAGACCAGACAGGAATCAACAGTTGGAATATTCCTGATGCAGGTTTTCAAAGCTACTAAAGGTATGCCTAGTGGCAGACGAAAGGCACCTTTCAGTGGAAAGGCCAAAAAGGTGCAACTACAAGCAAAGAAGGACCGGAAAAGAGGTGGAACAGTTATTGCCAAAGCAGATTCATCGACTGATTGGAGGGAATCTCAGAGCCAACATCGAGGTGAGAAAGCTTGTTTGCACAGAATTTTGTTGATCAAAAGTTGTTTTTGGCTCCAATACCCCTTAAGAAGTAGGCTATCTACTATCTTTGTTGACTGTTACATGTCACCCATTGCTCATAGTCATAAGTGGTTGAGGCTAAACTCCCCCTGGAAATCCTGATGAAATTTTGAGACCATTTCTTGATTTTCTTTTGCACTCACTAGGCTCAATGGTAGTTCTTTCAATTTTCAATGGATGCACCTGTGCAAAACAAACTTGGAAGCACACCCCAGACCTTAAGGAATGGCATTTGATTCATGATTTTCAGGTCCATTTGCCCTGCACTGCATTCAAGATGAGTTTAAACTTGGCAATACATGGATATTGTAAATATCACAATTATGCAATGTTAGAAGTTCTTACAAAATCTGAGCTCTTCTTTGTTTTTCTTTGATTTTGTTTTTGACAATGCATGCAGTTCAGGTAGAAGGCAGATGATCAGGATCTTGCCAGTGTTGGTTGTCAGGTCATCGGTATTGTGCCTAAAATAAATTGATTCAGTTAAGCCACAGTAACTTGGTTGTTATCTCAAATATTATATCAAGGTATCCAAATTTGAAATGGAATGATGTATTACAATGCAGATGGAAATGTTAGGATGAAGCAGAGTATCAATTCATCTTTACAATTCTTGACTGGGATTCCTATTTGCAGGTACTGATGGATCAGATGATGAAGATGTTAACAAAGCCAAGGTCGTGCAATTGAATAAGCAGCCAGCAGCAAAAGGCAGTGATGTTAACAGGTTTGGATAATTATACTGTAGTGTGTAGTCTTGTGTTAACTTCATCATTATCCCTATTTATGAGAATCTTTCAATAAATTTGCTTCACATTTTTCCTTTCCTGAATCTGCATTTTATTAGGTACAAGCTCCACTTCTTCAAACTCTCCAAGGATGAAATTGAAGAGAAGAAACGAATTGCTCAAGCTCCTTACACATCCATCGAGCCAAAGGATCTTGAAGTTGATGGAAGCCAGATCTTTCCTCCTGACATGGACATACCCAAAAGACCAAGGTGGAGCTACTCTATGTCAAAGGATGAAGTTGAAATTCGTGAAGCCAGATACTTCAAGGTGAATTGCTTGCTTTGAAATTTAGTGACATATTTGACTAATTCAAAGAACCTTAGTTCAGGTTCAATTAAAACCTATTTTCTTTCTTCAGTCAGATATGGGAAAAGTTATTTTGGTTGCATTGTTAGGTTTTGAAGTATTTTTAAATAGGGAAGCTTTTCTTGAGCATAGCAAGCCCACCTGCAGCCCATCTAATGTTTTTTTTTTATATAAAAAGAGTGATATTAACAGAACCATATGCATTATGGTGGTTTTAAAGTTAGGTATATTTAATTCACTGCTGTAGTTATTATCAAAAAATTTTTTTTAAAGTGTCTTTTCATTGTTGCTAAAGCAAAAAATGAACAAAAAAATTATGGAATAACCAAAGCCCATGTCTTGGCACAAAATACAACATGGAGCAGATGGCACATCTGCTTTGAGTCCTCAAAGAAAGTATAATAAAAAAAGATGCAGTCACCATACTTCTTTAAGTCCCATAAAAAATGAAGACACCTCAATTAGGCTACCATTGGAGATCAGCCTATTAAAACTTTTGTGCAAAATATTTGTTTGTTTCCAAGACCTATTATCTACACGTGGGAGGTATTAACACGTTGACGACCAGCCTATTTTTGCTTGTCCGCCGCGTGGGACCACGCACATTTTTTTTTGTCAAAAAATGCGTCCTGCCATCAGGACGCATGGTCCCAGAAAACATTTTTTTTGCTGAGTTTTTTTAAAATGTTGAATTTTTTGGAATTTTATCAGTAATTACGAAATCATAATCTTCTGGAACGTTCTCAACAGTTCCAGAGGGTATTCATTGAAAATGTGGAAGTTTCTCGAAGGTGATAGAAAATTGAAGAATCTTCGAGATCCCTCCGGGCCCAGGGCCTTGTTACTATAAAAACCCTGGGGAAATTGTGATAAGCAATCAGTTTTCCTTCTGACCATGGCTGCCTCTGACGAAGTCGGCGATCTGAATTGGAGCTTCGACGACTTGCTCATCAACAGTGACGACGAAGAGCCTGTGCCCGATGATGATGATGTTCCTGCTGCCCAATCCCTGGTCGTACCTGTACAATATGACTCCGATGATGACTCTGAGTATGAAGAAGAGGATCCAGATAAAGGAGAGGAAGAAGAAACCTGGGTCGAGGATGCCACCACTCACGATCGCTTTGCCTTTACCGAGGAGTGCGGAATTCATGCGGATGTTCAAAGTTGTGAAGTGCCTATCGATTACTTTCAGCTGTTCTTGACGGACGAGTTGCTGAACCTCATTGTGGCAGAGACGAACCGGTACGGTACTAAGAAGATGAGGGACAAGAACAAAGACTGGACCGACAATACCACCGAGGAGATGAGGCAATTTATTGGCATCTGCCTGTACATGGGACTCGTTCGCCTGTCAAAACTTTGGGATTACTGGTCTTCAGACAACTACTACTGCAACCCTGCAGTCACAAAAACTATGACCAGACATCGATTTGAGTTGCTGCTGACGAGCCTCCACTTCGCCGACAATGACCTCGTCGACAGGGGAAACCGTCTCTATAAAATAATGCCTGTACTGGACCTGCTGAATTCTTCCTTCCAGAAGATGTGCAAGCCTGCTAAGAGCCTCTGCATTGATGAGTCGATGGTGCCGTTCTGTGGACGAATCGTCTTCAGACAGTTCAACAAATCCAAAAGGCACAAGTACGGCATCAAGCTCTTCAAGCTCTGCTCAAAAGCCGGCTACACTCAGAAAGTCAAGGTTTACGCTGGTAGAGACGTCACCAGAGTAGGAGG